ATATATATAAAAACTTGTTCTCATAACAATCACATAAATTAATCTATTCTAATAGGATTTTTCTGATCTTAGCATAAACTGAGTCAGATTGGATAATGGCATCTATAAACAGAATTTTGTTGCCACTGGGTTTTTGTCTGATCTATTGGAAACACATGCATGAATCTAAGCCATTCCTTTGGAGCTCTGGATGGATGTTCAGGAACACTGTCTTACTGGAATATTAATATATTTATATTAATATCTCAGTTATGGTCAATGACCGACCTTTACCAAAATTATTTATACATTTTATGCATATATTTCCATATCCTTCAACTCTGTTTAAAAAAACAGCCACACTGTTGGCATTGTTTCTCTGCTCCAGTTAAACTCTTCAAACTTTGTGCTGCATCACTGTCACATGACCAGAAATAATAATCACCAGCCTGCTCCAGAAACACAAACAGCAACAAGATGGAAATAAATATCAGCTCTTGATATCGGCCCAGTTTTACTCATTGGACCGATATGCTAAAAAATAACTAATATCGGCCAATACCAATGTCTTTGCCCATTATATAGTTAATTCCTACTAAACACAGGTGGACTCTTGCCAGTTTTATTTAGGGATATTAGAGTAAATGTGGACTAACAACACAGGAAACATTTTTCCTGATTTTTGTTTGTTGAGAAAAAGAAAACTAGAATTTGATTAAGTTATGTTTGTTTCGTTTATGAAATTCACAGTACTCTTATCGTCTATGGGTCATACGTTTTGCTTTTCATATTTCCATTCATAGATCTAAAAGCATGTAAAATATAAGAATAAATTCACTCTTCAATAAAGTTCTGAAAATCTGACCTGACCACCCCAGGTCACAGTTTGCCTGATTTTTTCAAAGTCCTGCTATTGATAATAATTTCATGCTGATGTGTTAAAAAATTATTTCTATTAAAAATTATCTAGAAAACTTATACCAAAACATAACTTTGCAAGATGCTCAACACTCCTCATTCTAAGTTTCTGCAGTTTTTTTCATGTTGGAGATCTCATAAAATTACTATTTTATTCTCCTAATATTGCTACTTTATTCTGGTAATATTCTGACTTTATTCTCATGAATAAGAAAATAAATCATAGCTTGACTCTAATTTTCACTTGTAGAGTTGACTTGTGTTCAAAAAAGCTGTACAGCGCGCCTGTAAACCAAAATGGCGGCATCACTCTGAACTATAGAAACCCAAGAAATGCATTGATGGGGAAAAAAAGTCCAGATTTTCCAAAGATTAAATCTTCAAAAATCATAAATTCTATTAATCATTAAAAATGAACTTATTGGCCAGTCCTAATTAAAAGTCCACTGATAAATCCTGTGGTTATGTGGTAACTGCTACCTGCATCAGCCACAGACAGTAAAAGGTCTAGACAATATTAACTTCAGCAGATAAACCCACACCTGCTTTAAGGTGGAGGCTGTGCGGGTTGGTAAGGACCAGCACACAGTGCTGGTCCTTACCAACACTGTGTAAGGACCAGTGCTGTCCTTACAGCACTGTGCTTGGAAAGACTTGGAAAAGTCTTTCCAAGCAAGACTTTACAAGTCTTGCTTGGAAAGTCTTCCAAGCAAGACTTTCTTCTTGCTTGGAAGAAAGTCTTTACATCTTTCTTCCAAGCAAGAAGAAAGATGTAAAGACTTCTTGAGCTGTGTGGAGGAATAAACATGTGGGTGTGGATGGAGGGCATGTGGGAGAGGAAAGGCTGGAGCTGTGCTGCTTTCTCAGCCTTCAGCTCTAAAGTGGATCCAAAGAAAACAAAACCTCTGAAGACTTTTGTCTGAGCTTTCGTCTTATGAAGTCAAACTAAATGTAATTGCTGTTTCTCTCACAGGATTTGTTTTTCTCAACCTCTGGTTTGGCTGATTTCCTTTGGAGCAATAACCATTCTGAATGTCTGCAGCCATTTATCTCTGTTAGATTCAGTTCCTTACACTGTACATGTTTATATATATATATATATATATATATATATATATATATGTCTATTCAGCATTCCTCTCTTTGCTCACATGGACATGTCCTCTTCCCTCTGCACTTCACTCCATTTCATGTCTTTTATTTCCCTACAGTTTGTTTTTTTCTTCACTCCCTTTTCTACAAATATCCAGGAACTACTGTTCTGTTCAAGTCAACTTGTTTTGAAAAAAAAAAGAGAAGAAAATCCACCCTTTGGCTCATTCCTTAGCTGCCTTTCATCCATCGGTGCCTGTGAAGTTCTTACTGGCTGCTTTGTTTGTTTTGAGTTCTGCTTATCTGCACATTAATTGGCTGGATTTGTGCCGCTGTGGCGTTGCTGCTGACAATATTCCCCGTAAGCTGTGATCGCTGTAATAGACCACGTTTTTCCAAGGAGCTTGGATTGTGAAAGCGAGGGTGTTCTGTGGCAGCCAATCGTGGAAAAAATTGCGGGAGTGAGAAGGAATCTCAGTGGAGGTTTATGACTATATACATCATTTTTTTCCTCCACAGTGCTGAACTGCTGCGAGGGTGACGTCCTCTTTCTGCTGGACTCCTCAGGGAGTGTGACGTCCTACGAGCACGCCCGCATGCTCTCCTTCCTGTCGGAGCTCCTGCTCCCTTTTTCTCTGGGAAGGGATCAAGTGAGAGTGGGGCTGCTGCAGGTGGGGACCAAGCCACGCCTGGAATTTGGCTTCAACAGACACAGTACCCAAAGTGGCCTCCAGGGGGCTTTGACAAACATCCGACCCCTGAGGGGAGACACCAACACGGTGGATGCTCTCAAAATGGCCAAGGAGTGGGTGCTGCGCCCCGGGACGTCTGACGGGGCGAGGGAAGGGCTGCCCAGAGTGCTAGTGTGGTTGACTGATGGGGTGAAGCCGGGGGACGTGATTGGACCAATGGCTGAGCTGCGGGAGGAGGGTGTGGCAGTGCTGGTGGTCTCAACAGGGCACAGCAATTACAAGGTGCTGAGGGAGGTCGTGACCCCTCCTGTGGAAAATCACCTGCACTTTGTGGACATCGATGACATGAGCATCATCACCAAAGACCTGCGCGATGCCATTATTGGTGAGATTGCTACTGACAGGTGCTCTTCTATTTTAAAAGCTTCAAGTTCAGCTCTTTGGCTTGTGGCTCTGTGGTTTTCTTCATGACTATGTAAGCTGTTGCAGCGCTGGCTGCCATGCTCCTAAACCAGTCTCAAACTGCATTCCTCAAGGGCCAGAGTCCTGAAACTTTCAGAGGTGTCTCTTGTTCTACACATTATAATTAAACAGCTAACCTGCCTCACTAGCATGCAGTCAGGCTTTACTGAGCCCTGCTGATGAGCTAATGTTGGAGCCAGGTGGCTGAAGCAGAGACGAGTTTCAGCAGAAAAGGCCCTTCGTTTTTATTGATCAATTACAAGATCATCACTAATTAATAAGTTAAATATAGGCTCATTTTCTATTTGACATTTGTATAAATATTTGCTGTTTGCAAACAAAAGTGTTGCCCCCTGTTTGTCACTAATGGAAATGTGGCTTTCTGTCTAGCAATTTTTTTTCTCGTGTTTTATTTGAAGTCTCCATTGAGGACCAAATACCAAATATAACAAAAATATTTCCTCTAACTTACTATAAAAGCACTTTCTAAGCTGCCTACTGTTTTACTGGAAGAACAAACATATTTAGGACTCACAAAAAACTGCTATAAAATGTAATAATTAAGAACTTTCTATAATTTCTTATTTCAAGTGAAAACTATATTTTGCAAGTGTCACAATTTGTGTAGAGTCTTATTTTTATTCCAAAGTTTAACACAAAAAATAAAGGCCATAAAGAAAATGTCTGCATGTTGGGAGTTAACCCCTCTGTTGCCAACTCAGCGACTTCCCTGCTATGTTTAGCAACACTTCAGACAAAAAAAAAAAAAAAAAAAAACTGGCATTGGCCAAAATCAGAATCAGCAGGTCAGGCTTTTTAAAGATTGGTAATCTGCGATCAGCAAGAAAACTGCAATCGGTTCACCACTAATAATTTTCCTCTAATTCATTGAAACATATGGCTATATCTTTTATTTTTGTGAACTAAAAATAGCATCAACATGTAACCTGTCAGCTGATGTGCTTGCTGACTGAAAATGTTCTCAAAGTTCTTACATTTGACGGGTTTATTGAATTGGGAGGAAAAAAATTGGATTTTGCTGCATTTACTTGCTGACAACTTCTCAGAGATGATTGAGGGAAAATTTGCAGATTTCAGTTATTGGGTGATTATTTAGTTATTAACAACATATAGAATGCTAAATATTGAACAAGTTATGTGAAAAGAAATTAAGTCCACTGAGATTTCAATAAAATCCAGCTGTACTGAGATTGTGGGTGAAATCATACAGAAAACATCTAAAGGAATTTTTACCTAAAGTGTCCTTTAAAGAAAACATTATCTGTTGTAGACTGATCTTTATTGTTGGACCTGCAGTAAGTGCAGTGGGCTGCCTGTAAGGCACGGTGATCCTCCAGTGCAAGTCTAGACAGGATGCCAGGACACTATGAGACTCCTGCATGTTTTAGGCTCTCTGAAATGTGACCGGCTGATCTATTAATGGATTACTGATTCAACTTCCCTTCCTACGTTCTCCATCACTATGTCAGACATACATAAATACAGAGTAGGGAGTTTGCCCAATTCTCAGACTGCATTAGGTAACTGGCATATTACTTTGCAGAGGCCACTTCATAACAGTTTATGTTGCATACAGAGGAGATGATGCACAGCATAAATAAAAGCTGATATGTAGGCAAAATACAGTAGTCCTTAATTAGCACCTGCATATATCAATGTTCTCTGTAGCTGTTTCATTGCAGACACTTTATGGGTTGGTTATTTCAAGTTGTTTCATTGCAGGAGTTAAGAATGCAATTAGAAAGCAGAGCCTGTGTCTGTGGGAGGCTGTCTGAAGCCTGGGCATATTTAGCTATCTGTTTTGCCACCTTCCCTGTTGACACTTATGACACTTGACTAAATTACTCCTAGCCCCTAAACTGTAATAAAATAAAATCTCCTGGTTTTGTCCCAAACAGAGATAATAAAAGCTGAGCGCCTTCACGTACGAGACGTGTCCACCGACTCGGCCTCTCTCCACTGGAGGCCCGTTCTGTCTGGTCTATCGGGCCACTACGAGATTCGCTTAGGTGAAATTTCAACTGGAGGCGGCGGTGGTGGCGGCGGATCAGGGACCAGTCCGAGCACCAGTGGAAGCCAGTACCAGAGACTGATCCAGTCCGCGCAGCTGAACAGCGTCAGACTGACTGACCTAAAGCCAGACACCACCTATTCTGTCAGCCTGATTCCAGAGTCCAACGAAATAACATTTAACACACTCTCCACCACATTCACAACAAAGCCAGGTTAGATTGTTTCCCTTTTACAGACTTTGTCCAGAAATATGCACTGTTATTTTCTGCTACCGTTGAGCTAAGGGTGCCTCCACTCCAGCTCTGTTTAGCCTGTTTTAACTTAACTCTTGCTCGCTTGTCCAGACAGTTTGTTTGGGGAACCAACTGTTACATTTGAACTCTAACACAGACCGAAAAAGCGGACTCTGGTCTGCCTAAAAACCTTGGTCTGGGGTTCGAACCGCACCAAAAGCAGGAAGCAAACTATAGTGTGTAGGGTATTCTGGGTAAATACAACCAAAACAAATGCTAGAGGGAGAAATTGTTTGTTGTCTTCTACTTAAGAGAAATCTTTCAATTGCTAAAATCTGACGCTGTTCTATTTTTGTTTAAATCTTGTGAAGAAGGAAGTTGAGCTCATGTCTTCTGAGATCTCTGTGTCATTTCCTTCTTTGATTCTTGGTGCGGCGCCCTCACAGGCAAGGAGGGTAACAGGTTTTTCAAAGGTTCGGATCGTTTGACTCAGTACTGTGTGAAAGAAAACCAAATCAGCTAAAAATGTAACAAATATTGTGATTTTTGACCTCAATAGAACCGAGTCTTCTGGACTATCTGGTGTGAAAACATCCTTAGAATGTTTTTTTGGACATCAAGTCAGTATTTCTTACCTTTGAAAAAATGTGTCTACTGTGGTCATTTTTTAATTTTATTCCTGTAGTGGTTGAGAGTCCAGCTGTTGTAACAGTTTCTGAGTCTGGGGAGACCAGTGTTCGGGTGAGCTGGGGCCCTCTTCAGCCAGACACCGTCACGAGTTACTACATTGAGTACTCCGCCCTGCCCAGGGGCAATCTCCAGACTGTCACAGTGGGCCGATCACAGAACTCCACCCTGCTGAGAAATCTCCTGCCAGGGACAATATACCTGGTCACAGTGACTGCCCGGCATGCCTCAGGAAAGCAGAAATCGATGTCAGTTAAAGTTTGCACTCAAGAAGGTGAGCACTGAGAAAAGTTTGAGTTTGGGATTGAGTTTTCTCATGGTCTCTGGTACAGATTATTAATAATAGCTTTGACTGTTATTAATAATAGTTTGATGAAATAGATTCCTATTTTATCAAATTTAGTTCAGACTATCCTTCATATCCTCATACTGCAGTCTCAAGTTTAGTTTCAAAATCGCTGCCTTCTGTTTTTCAACATCTCCAACCTTAACTGCTCTGAGCTTTCTGTGCCCAGTGACTCCGGCCCTGGATGACCTCCAGCTCACCACTGTGGGAAGTGCTTCAGTGCAGGTGGACTGGAGGGGCAGCGCGGCTGGTCTGAGAGGCTACTGGCTCACCTGGGAGGGGCAGCAAAGCTCAGCTGCCAACCAACGCTCCTCCCTCTACCTTCCACCCAATTCTCTGTCCACGCGCCTCACACACCTTCCCCCTTATGCTAGAGTTTGTGTGTCTCCCATTTACCGAACGGCAAGGGGGGATGGACTGTGTTGCACAGCACAGTTTCACTCAGGTGAGTCCAGAAAGAACAGGGTCAGTCGGGTTCTGAAATTAGCAATGTGACAAGTGTGACATGTGAAAGACCAAAAACAAACTAGTGCCTTGTGAAGTGGAAGCAAAACAATAATAATTAAAAAAATAAATAAACAAATAAATTATCCATCCATCCATTTTCTGTACACCCTTGTCCCTTAGTGGGGTCAGGAGGCAAATAAATTATATAATATATAATCACTTGTCACTTGAAGGAGTAATTCTCCCTCAAGTGACAATAACTTAGACATGTTTAAACATCTAAACACCCATGTAAATTAAAGCTGTCGGCATGTAGGAAAAATTGGTTGTTGTTTTTTCCTTGAATTATGAAAACCAAACCAAAGAAACAGCACTGTTTGTTTTTTATATACGTGGCATTTAAATATGATTCCAATCGGTTGCAAATGTTTCCCTTTCTCCTCTCAGATGCTTTGGGATATGGCTTCCAGTCATAGCAGCCCTGCGCTGCACGTGCACCTTACCAAAGAAGGAGGGAGGATAACGGGAAAGAATGCTGACTGCCTTTCATAATTCTTCAGAGTGACTCTCCCCCTCTGTGGACATGATCCAGAAGAGATGTGGTTTGGCTCATGAAGCAGGCGCTTCATAAACCTGCCGCACATACTGACTGCAAAACATCTGAAATTCAAAGAAAAGTATTATCTGTTTTATTACCGTCCCATCTGTTTGTCACCCGTCTAAATTTCTTCGATCAAATGACCCAAGCTTGCGATGTGGAATATTTCAGCGGCCTGTTTTTGCAGACCCAGGCTGGGAATGCTGATGGTTTCTCTGGGATGTTTTGCAGAAGAGCTTTACAACATATGCACACCATGTGTCCAAATCTGCTTTTTCTTTTATAACTCTTAACACCGCGGGAACATCTGATACACATTTACTATAAATAATGTACTTAAATCACTTTTCTCACTCAACACATGCTTTAAGACTTTCATTGAATGCTTGTATATACTCTGGGAAATGCAGCAGGGTCACATAAAAGTGAAGTTCTGAATAACAGAACTTCACTTTTGTGTTTAAAGCTTTGAGCTTTAAGCACAAAACATCCACTCACTCTGGAACCAGACAGATGCAGGATATGAAACAGATGTGTGCAACTAAAAGTCACATTGAGTTACTGTCTATACATTGGTCTATAATTCATATTTATCGAGAACCTTATAGGAACTAATAACTTTGAGTCTTTATGGAGCTACAGTTTATGTTTTTTGACTGTTACTGTTTTCCAGCTTGTGTTTGCTGCCCCCTACTGTAAAGTCGTGTACTGGCTTACTGCAGATTTTTCCCTGCATTTATTTTTTTGTTGTTTTCCATTTAAAACTTCATACAAAGTTTCAATAAACTTACTTAAAACGTGTAATGCTGCAGTCCATTGTTAATGTTGTAAAATAGATTAAATACTTAATGTTGGGTATTACAATGGCTGGAACATATCTGTGTATAAGCTTACAAAAATGTTACAAGGTAACACAACTTTACAAGTGAGGACTCACTAAGCCTATCCTAGAAAAGGTTTTGAATGACCTTTTATTCTCTTTCTAGCAAGAGTTTACAATTACCACTTTTTAAAATTTATTTGTGTGGACACTTGAGAATGATGTGGCATAAGAAGGAACTTCTCCCAAAGGGAGGCAAACACATATTTTTGACTCTTGACTGGTTCCATAAATAGATTAAAATGATTCCTGGTATTAGAAAAATAATCGTTTTCCAAATTATACTCCGGTTTCTACCATCCAAAGTTTCCTTTTCTCTACTTTTTCACTAGCCCTGTCTTCATTCTTTCTATTAAAGATTTAAAAAATAATTTATAATTAATCCTATTTTGTAATAGTAAAATGTTAGTTAGCCAAGCTAATCTGAAAAAAATAAAATAAATAAAAACTTAGAATTAGGTCAAATGGTTGCGCAGATCTGCTCATTAGTTCAGATGTGGGTGCATGAATAGACATTTGTGTGTGCACACATACACACACACATTCGTGTGCCACTCTGCAGCACTTTTCAGCAGGTGAAAGAAATCTGGCCCAATCAGCAGCACCCGCAACTCAGGTAATATAAGGAATCTACCAACCACTTTGCTGGTTTTGCAACAGAGCTGAGGAAGGCAAACACAGCCTCCAAAGCAGCATTTCATGGGAAAGGACTTAGATTAAACAAGGACTACCGGTAAGCCACTAACTGGGCTCAATTGAATGTAATTTGACTGTAGTTTTGTATTTGAGAAATGAAATGAAGAATTTATTGAAGTAACAGTTTGCACTGCTAATTTTATAGTTTGGTTCCACTAAATGTATGTTAAGATATCTAATGTAAAAAACCTTATGTCCTAAGAAAAAGAAAAAAATGTAATTCTAAAAATGTGTGGATTTGTTTGATTCAAATTCAACCAGACATGAAATTTAATAATTTAATACTGTGAATTTATGGTTAAAATTGTAAGAGAAATGTATGTTTAAGGTTAAAAATGGAATTAGTCATTAAGATAAATTAACTTTGAACCAAATGTCTAAAATGTATGTTAAAATATTTTGTATGCGTTTTGTAGGTTTTTCACCTGTTCATTGATTCTCACTCATTGGTGAAAATAAAAAAAAAGATTGAGTGAAATCCTGAAGTCTCTTCAAGTCCTCCTTTTCAAGTGTGGGAAGCCATGAAATTATAGAACACTTGACAGTGAAAAACTGTTCCAACCAGAGGAGATTCCATTCTGCAACCAGAGACTGAGATCTGCTATCTGTCTTCCAAAGGAGGAAAATGGCTGAATTAAAGTCCCCTGGTGACCTCAAAGCAGAGAGGACAACAGTTAAAAGTCTTTTCTCCCACTTTGCAAATAACATTATGAGGACTGTTGAGAAAATAAATTTAAAATAAGCTAGTTTTAAAACTTAATATATCTTGATTCAAATGGCCTAATTGTGGTTTTAAAATCAGTAACATATTCTGACTTTTTGACCTTTAATTTGCCTGTAGTTACAGCAGATGGTTTGCTAGGATCGTTTGAACTGCCTTTTGTCTGTGTGGGAAAACAATCAGGAGAAGTTCCAGCTTTTCACACTCATCTGTGTCTTCTACACTCATCTGTGTCTTGCAACTCTAGAGAGAGAGTTGCAAGAGCAAATCTCTCTTTTGACGTCTTTGGACGTCTTTGCTTTTCTTGCTTTCTTTTTCCTTCTTTTCCAAGTATGTCAGGTAAATGAATGTATGTCTCCGTTGTTCTGCAGTTTCTGTGTAAGTTCATACGTTGCCTTATATTGGATTAAACTCTGTAATTCTGTGATGTCAACACGCATTGTTGTTTTCTGCTGAGTGACTACACGCGGCCTGCCGAGAAGACCTGGGATCCAAGAGGAAGAGAGAGCCAGACTTTTCCAAAATTAATTCAGAGAAACTCTTCCTTAACAGGACCTACATGGAGATGTCTAAGGAGGAACTGGAGGAGAACTACAAGAAGCTTACACTGGAGAGCTCCAAAGTTATGGAGGCAAATGAGGATGTGGAGGCTACTTATATGGCTGAGTGCAAAGCAACTGCAGCTGAGGAGCTGAGTAATCTTCAGAAAGCCGACAGAGAAGACGGAGAAAGAATGTGAACAAAGCTTAAAGAAGCTAAACTCCTTATCCGAGAGACAATGTGGGCCACATATGGAGAGAAGGAACTGTCCCTGGCTCTACAAGTTGCAGAGGATGAGTCCAAGAATGTTTCCTCCATCGGGCCAGACACAACTCTGGAGGCATATGAGTTTATGCTGACTCATTTGGAGAAATTGATCCAGAAGGCAAAAGAAGCACACCAAAATTGGAACCGTTGGGCCCCACCTGCCGAGAAAAAGGATTTTAAACTACCGTGTAAGGGAGCTAGGGGGTGTGCCTCCCTAGGCTGGTATCCCAGAAGGCTGTCTTTATCGAAGCAGCAAGGAAGAAGGACACAACAGAGGAAAAAGCCTTAGTCCGCAGCCTACCTCCAGTAGCTGCAATAAAACTGAAAGCCACAGGTTTACCAAAGTTTGGTGGAAGTAAACGAGACTATTACAGATTGAGAAAAGAATGGGAGGCTCTCCAGAAGCAAGGTGAACCATCTGGTTTGAAAGAAGTAAAGAAGTTTCAATTGCTTGATAGTCTCGATAAGAAAGTGGCAAAAGATTTACGCCTGTCAACATATAATTCATCAGATGAGATCTTCAGAGTCCTGGACAATCGTTTTGGGAATAAAGCTACCATTGCTCTTGAGATTATTGAAGAATTACAAGCAATTCCACCAGTGAGAAATGGTCAATCTAGACGAATAATGGAACGAATTGGGCTATGCTTCACAAGTCCATGAAATGGTTGATCGCAAAGCTGCAGTGAAACTGTCCAAAGAAGTACTACAAAGCTGGGCTGGGCCAGTGTGGTATACAAGTCATCTGATTGCACCAAATCCACATTCCATATCTACTCCAGTGAGGCTAGTGTGGGACAGCAGCCACACTAGCCTGTTCCACACTATGACATGAATGACATGTTGATTAAAGGTCCTGATGTCTTAAATCCGATCAGATTTAAGACATCAGCTCAGGATGGTTCCGAGTTGGTGTCTTTGCTGCCCTTGGTGACATCCAAAAAATGTACAACTCTGTGTGGTTAGAAGAGAAAGAGGTTCATCTGCACAGGTTTTTGTGGCGTGACAGTGAGGATGCTGAAATAGAAGATTTTACCATAACAAGGGTCAATATCTGGGAAAAACCTGCTGGCTGTATCGCCCAAGTTGCCATGCGGGAGACTGCCAGCCTACCCCCATTTACACAGTTCAAAGGGGAGAAATGTGTGCTGGAAGAAGACGTCTACGTCGATGACATCTTGACATCTAACAACAACCTTGACTACCTGAAACTCCTCACATCCAACATCGAGCAGATCCTTAAAGCTGGAGGATTTTTCATGAAGCCCTGGGTCTACTCTAGTCAAAGTGGGAGGCAGGAGTCAAGAGAAGTTAACATGGAGATAAAGACCATGATCTTACCTAACCAGCTCACTGGAAAAGATAACAAAGCCCTTGGTCTGGGTTACACTGTTGAAGATGACAAGCTGCATGTCATGGTTGCAGTGAACTTTTCCAAGAGGAAGAAGAAAATGCGCCTTGGTCAGGACCTGCTAAGAGAAGAAGTAAAAGGACAAACCCCAAATCCTCTTACCAGAAGAGAACTGTTAAGTCAAGTCTCTGCTCTCTATGATCCACTTGGCCTTGTGACTCCTGCAAAGCAGAAAGGAGCAATTCTGGTTCGAAGGGCTTTTCAGGAAGCAAAGCTAATGTATTGCGCAAAAGATACCTGCGATGCTGCTCTGTCCAAAGAACTCAGAGAGGATGCCGTAAAGCTGCTAGAAGAATATGCTGACTTGAGCTAACTCGGATTCATCAGATCCCTGACACCACCAGACCCACATGCAGGTCCAATTGGCATCATATTTTCTGATGGTAGTGAGCATGTATATGGTGCTGTGTTGTACCTACTTTGGGAATGCCCTAATGGTTTAAGTGTGAGGTTGGTTGAGTCTAAAGCCAAGCTGACTCCTCTCAACTGCAATGGTGACCTCGTGAAAGTGGAGATATGCGGAGCAGTATTTGCAGCCCGGCTACAGACCTATTTCCAGAAACATTGCCGAATCAAAGTTGAGAAGTGGTTCCACCTCGTTGACAGTCAAACTGTCTTGGGTGCAATACAGTGAGAGAGTTATGGATATCAGACCTTCTTCGCCAACCGGGTTGGAGAGATCCAGAGCAGCACTAATGTCCAAGACTGGTGGTGGATTCCAGGATCAGCAAATGTTGCAGATATTATCACCAGAGGAGCAAGTCCTGCTTACTTAACCGAAGACTCAGAGTGGCAGTTGGGTGCAAGTTCCCTTCAACTTCCTGATAGTGAGTGGCCAAAGAAATCTGCAAATGATGTTGCCGTGCAAGCAAGAGACAATGTTATAAAAATACAGAAGAAAACATTTGTTGCTGCACTTACCCAAAGTCAGCTGAAAGAACAAAATCCAATCAGAGTCCAGAATAAAGTGATCATCTCTAGAAGGCTGCCTGCAGCTGCAGTAGTCCAGCAACTAGTGGACGTGAGGCACTTCAGCAGTTTGAGAAAACTGATAGGGGTAGTTGCATGGATTTGGAGAGCAGCAAAAAAGTTCCTGCATGTCAAGATCACAGATAAAGAAAAGTGGTAGGTGGTCCCTTCATCTGGTGTCATTACAGTTGGCAAAAGAGGAGATGTGTTCAGAGACCTATGCCTGGCAGTACAAGAAGGTGTACAATTTCCAACTACAATGACTGACAGACTGGTTGTCTACAAAGATGAAACAAGCAGGCTCTTGATGTGTGGCAGCAGAGTTCAGACTTTTAAGGAGGACCACAGAGCCGTTCCTCTGTTGCCCTTCCAGTCTTGGATCTCCACCCTTCTACCCCAAGCAGCACACAGTGAAGGACATGATGGAGTGGCAGGAACTTTGCTGCGTATGCGGAAGAAAGCATGAGTCATCAGAGCACGAGTCATTGCCAGAAAAGTTGTCGATGAGTGTATAGTGTGCAAAAAGGTGAGAGCGAAAACCTGTCGGCAAATAATGAGGGATCTGCCTGAAGAAAGGTCTAGTCCAAGTGCACCATTTCAATTTATATCTGTTGATTTGTTTGGCCCTTACCAAGTGAAATATGACGTCAAGAAAAGAGTGAGCATGAAAGTTTGGGGTGTGTTGTTCTGCTGTATGTCAAGCAGAGCCATTCATGTTGAACTGACAAACACATTATCTACAGAGAGCTTCATACTTCCCTACCAGAGGTTTACGTCCATCAGAGGTCATCCCCAGAAGGTGTGGTCTGACCCAGGTAATAACTTTATTGGGGCAAAACTCATTCTGCAAGAAATGTATGCTTACCTGAGACAGCAAGACAAATTCTCACTTGAAGAGGATGCTGCAAAAAATGGGACTTACTGGACATGGAAAATTCTTCCAGTCGATTCACCACATCGCAAAGGTGCAGCTGAAACTGTTGTCAAGATCATTAAGAGAGCGTTCCAAAGTCTTTGCAGAGTGGAAGGCCTTACCTTCAGTGAGTTTCTTACGATGATTAAGCTAGCTGCCAATCTAGCCAACGAAAGACCTATTGATGCTAGAGTATAGAGCCACGAAGATCGAATCCAGTACATCACTCCAAACACCCTGCTGCTCGGTCGAGCTACACAAAGTGGAGATTTCAAGACATTTGACTATACCACTTACCCCTTTAAAAGGCTGCAAGAAATACAAACTCAAGTTGACTACTTTTGGAGGTCCTGGAGTCAACTTGCAGGTCCCAACTCGTTTGTCCGTGGTAGGTGGCATACTGCTGAAAGAAATGTTGCTATTGGCGATGTGGTCTGGCTCTGCGACCAAAATGCTCTAAGGGAGCAATTCAAGATGGGTAGAGTTGTTGCTGGGAATCCTGATTGCAAAGGGATAGTCCGGGATGTTTATGTGAAGGTTTCTCCAAGTGGGTATAGTTTGGGACCTAATCCTCCTGTGAAATGTTCTGGATTGGTGAAGGAGGTTCAGGGCACCATTCTCCATCGGGACGTCCGGCGCCTTGTAGTGCTCATCCCAGCAGAAGACCAAGCAGAGGGAACCAGCTCACTTAAAAAATGCGATCTTCCCTCCCACTTGCAAGATCGAGTGGGAGGTGTTGTGCAGATCTGCTCATTAGTTCAGATGTGGTTGCATGAATAGATATTTATGTGTGCGCGGGCACACGCACACGTACACACACACACACATTAGTGTGCCAGTCTGCCAGTCTGCAGCACTTTTCAGCAGGTGAAAGAAATCTGGTCCAATCAGCACACCGAGTAAACGGTGTGACCTTATCCTGTTGAAGACAATGCAACACAAATGTGCTGAAAAGATTGGGGTTATGAGGTAAAATTTATTTTAAAGCATACATTGACTTGCTAAAATATTTATACCTCAATGTTTTGTTTTGTTTTTTTGCATTTTTGCAAAAAAAAAAAAGCAAACATTACCTCAACTCAGGTAATATAAGGAATCTACCAACCACTTTGCTGGTTTTGCAACAGAGCTGAGGAAGGCCAACACAGCCTCCAAAGCAGCATTTCATGGGAAAGGACTTAGATTAAACAAGGACTACCGGTAAGCCATTAACTGGGCTCAGTTGAATGTAATTTGACTGTAGTTTCACATTTGAGAAAAATGTATGTCTAAGGTTAAAAATGGAATTAGTCATTAAGATAAATTATTAACTTTGAACCAAATGTCTAAAATGTATGTTAAAATATTTTGTATGCATTTTGTAGGTTTTTCACCTGTTCATTGATTCTCACTCATTGGTGAAAATAAAAAAGATTGAGTGAAATCCTGAAGTCTCTTCAAGTCCTCCTTTTCAAGTGTGGGAAGCCATGAAATTATAGAACACTTGACAGTGAAAAACTGTTCCAACCAGAGGAGATTCCATTCTGCAACCAGAGACTGAGATCTGCTATCTGTCTTCCAAAGGAGGAAAATGGCTGAATTAAAGTCCCCTGGTGACCTCAAAGCAGAGAGGACAACAGTTAAAAGTCTTTTCTCCCACTTTGCAAATAACATTATGAGGACTGTTGAGAAAATAAATTTAAAATAAGCTAGTTTTAAAACTTAATATATCTTGCTTCAAATGGCCTAATTGTGGTTTTAAAATCAGTAACATATTCTGACTTTTTGACCTTTAATTTGCCTGTAGTTACAGCAGATGGTTTGCTAGGATCGTTTGAACTGCCTTTTGTCTGTGTGGGAAAACAATCAGGAGAAGTTCCAGCTTTTCACACTCATCTGTGTCTTCTACACTCATCTGTGTCTTGCAACTCTAGAGAGAGAGTTGCAAGAGCAAATCTCTCTTTTGACGTCTTTGGACGTCTTTGCTTTTCTTGCTTTCTTTTTCCTTCTTTTCCAAGTATGTCAGGTAAATGAATGTATGTCTCCGTTGTTCTGCAGTTTCTGTGTAAGTTCATACGTTGCCTTATATTGGATTAAACTCTGTAATTCTGTGATGTCAACACGCATTGTTGTTTTCTGCTGAGTGACTACACGCGGCCTGCCGAGAAGACCTGGGATCCAAGAGGAAGAGAGAGCCAGACTTTTCCAAAATTAATTCAGAGAAACTCTTCCTTAACAGGACCTACATGGAGATGTCTAAGGAGGAACTGGAGGAGAACTACAAGAAGCTTACACTGGAGAGCTCCAAAGTTATGGAGGCAAATGAGGATGTGGAGGCTACTTATATGGCTGAGTGCAAAGCAACTGCAGCTGAGGAGCTGAGTAATCTTCAGAAAGCCGACAGAGAAGACGGAGAAAGAATGTGAACAAAGCTTAAAGAAGCTAAACTCCTTATCCGAGAGACAATGTGGGCCACATATGGAGAGAAGGAACTGTCCCTGGCTCTACAAGTTGCAGAGGATGAGTCCAAGAATGTTTCCTCCATCGGGCCAGACACAACTCTGGAGGCATATGAGTTTATGCTGACTCATTTGGAGAAATTGATCCAGAAGGCAAAAGAAGCACACCAAAATTGGAACCGTTGGGCCCCACCTGCCGAGAAAAAGGATTTTAAACTACCGTGTAAGGGAGCTAGGGGGTGTGCCTCCCTAGGCTGGTATCCCAGAAGGCTGTCTTTATCGAAGCAGCAAGGAAGAAGGACACAACAGAGGAAAAAGCCTTAGTCCGCAGCCTACCTCCAGTAGCTGCAATAAAACTGAAAGCCACAGGTTTACCAAAGTTTGGTGGAAGTAAACGAGACTATTACAGATTGAGAAAAGAATGGGAGGCTCTCCAGAAGCAAGGTGAACCATCTGGTTTGAAAGAAGTAAAGAAGTTTCAATTGCTTGATAGTCTCGATAAGAAAGTGGCAAAAGATTTACGCCTGTCAACATATAATTCATCAGATGAGATCTTCAGAGTCCTGGACAATCGTTTTGGGAATAAAGCTACCATTGCTCTTGAGATTATTGAAGAATTACAAGCAATTCCACCAGTGAGAAATGGTCAATCTAGACGAATAATGGAACGAATTGGGCTATGCTTCACAAGTCCATGAAATGGTTGATCGCAAAGCTGCAGTGAAACTGTCCAAAGAAGTACTACAAAGCTGGGCTGGGCCAGTGTGGTATACAAGTCATCTGATTGCACCAAATCCACATTCCATATCTACTCCAGTGAGGCTAGTGTGGGACAGCAGCCACACTAGCCTGTTCCACACTATGACATGAATGACATGTTGATTAAAGGTCCTGATGTCTTAAATCCGATCAGATTTAAGACATCAGCTCAGGATGGTTCCGAGTTGGTGTCTTTGCTGCCCTTGGTGACATCCAAAAAATGTACAACTCTGTGTGGTTAGAGGAGAAAGAGGTTCATCTGCACAGGTTTCTGTGACCTGACAGTGAGGATGCTGAAATAGAAGATTTTGCCATAACAAGGGTCAATATCTGGGAAAAACCTGCTGGCTGTATCGCCCAAGTTGCCATGCGGGAGACTGCCAGCCTACCCCCATTTACACAGTTCAAAGGGGAGAAATGTGTGCTGGAAGAAGACGTCTACGTCGATGACATCTTGACATCTAACAACAACCTTGACTACCTGAAACTCCTCACATCCAACATCGAGCAGATCCTTAAAGCTGGAGGATTTTTCATGAAGCCCTGGGTCTACTCTAGTCAAAGTGGGAGGCAGGAGTCAAGAGAAGTTAACATGGAGATAAAGACCATGATCTTACCTAACCAGCTCACTGGAAAAGATAACAAAGCCCTTGGTCTGGGTTACACTGTTGAAGATGACAAGCTGCATGTCATGGTTGCAGTGAACTTTTCCAAGAGGAAGAAGAAAATGCGCCTTGGTCAGGACCTGCTAAGAGAAGAAGTAAAAGGACAAACCCCAAATCCTCTTACCAGAAGAGAACTGTTAAGTCAAGTCTCTGCTCTCTATGATCCACTTGGCCTTGTGACTCCTGCAAAGCAGAAAGGAGCAATTCTGGTTCGAAGGGCTTTTCAGGAAGCAAAGCTAATGTATTGCGCAAAAGATACCTGGGATGCTGCTCTGTCCAAAGAACTCAGAGAGGATGCCGTAAAGCTGCTAGAAGAATATGCTGACCTGAGCCAACTCAGATTCATCAGATCCCTGACACCACCAGACCCACATGCAGGTCCAATTGGCATCACTTTTTCTGATGGCAGTGAGCATGCATATGGTGCTGTGTTGTACCTACTTTGGGAATGCCCTAATGGTTTAAGTGTGAGGTTGGTTGAGTCTAAAGCCAAGCTGACTCCTCTCAACTGCAATGGTGACCTCGTGAAAGTGGAGATATGCGGAGCAGTATTTGCAGCCCGGCTACAGACCTATTTCCAGAAACATTGCCGAATCAAAGTTGAGAAGTGGTTCCACCTCGTTGACAGTCAAACTGTCTTGGGTGCAATACAGTGAGAGAGTTATGGATATCAGACCTTCTTCGCCAACCGGGTTGGAGAGATCCAGAGCAGCACTAATGTCCAAGACTGGTGGTGGATTCCAGGATCAGCAAATATTGCTGATATTATCACCAGAGGGGCAAGTCCTGCTTACTTAACCGAAGACTCAGAGTGGCAGTTGGGTCCAAGTTTCCTTTAACTTCCTGAAAGTGAGTGTCCAAAGAAATCTGCAAATGATGTTGCTGTGCAAGCAAGAGACAATGTTATAAAAATACAGAAGAAAACATTTGTTGCTGCACTTACCCAAAGTCAGCTGAAAGAACAAAATCCAATCAGAGTCCAGAATAAAGTGATCATCTCTAGAAGGCTGCCTGCAGCTGCAGTAGTCCAGCAACTAGTGGACGTGAGGCACTTCAGCAGTTTGAGAAAACTGATAGGGGTAGTTGCATGGATTTGGAGAGCAGCAAAAAAGTTCCTGCATGTCAAGATCACAGATAAAGAAAAGTGGTAGGTGGTCCCTTCATCTGGTGTCATTACAGTTGGCAAAAGAGGAGATGTGTTCAGAGACCTATGCCTGGCAGTACAAGAAGGTGTACAATTTCCAACTACAATGACTGACAGACTGGTTGTCTACAAAGATGAAACAAGCAGGCTCTTGATGTGTGGCAGCAGAGTTCAGACTTTTAAGGAGGACCACAGAGCCGTTCCTCTGTTGCCCTTCCAGTCTTGGATCTCCACCCTTCTACCCCAAGCAGCACACAGTGAAGGACATGATGGAGTGGCAGGAACTTTGCTGCGTATGCGGAAGAAAGCATGAGTCATCAGAGCACGAGTCATTGCCAGAAAAGTTGTCGATGAGTGTATAGTGTGCAAAAAGGTGAGAGCGAAAACCTGTCGGCAAATAATGAGGGATCTGCCTGAAGAAAGGTCTAGTCCAAGTGCACCATTTCAATTTATATCTGTTGATTTGTTTGGCCCTTACCAAGTGAAATATGACGTCAAGAAAAGAGTGAGCATGAAAGTTTGGGGTGTGTTGTTCTGCTGTATGTCAAGCAGAGCCATTCATGTTGAACTGACAAACACATTATCTACAGAGAGCTTCATACTTCCCTACCAGAGGTTTACGTCCATCAGAGGTCATCCCCAGAAGGTGTGGTCTGACCCAGGTAATAACTTTATTGGGGCAAAACTCATTCTGCAAGAAATGTATGCTTACCTGAGACAGCAAGACAAATTCTCACTTGAAGAGGATGCTGCAAAAAATGGGACTTACTGGACATGGAAAATTCTTCCAGTCGATTCACCACATCGCAAAGGTGCAGCTGAAACTGTTGTCAAGATCATTAAGAGAGCGTTCCAAAGTCTTTGCAGAGTGGAAGGCCTTACCTTCAGTGAGTTTCTTACGATGATTAAGCTAGCTGCCAATCTAGCCAACGAAAGACCTATTGATGCTAGAGTATAGAGCCACGAAGATCGAATCCAGTACATCACTCCAAACACCCTGCTGCTCGGTCGAGCTACACAAAGTGGAGATTTCAAGACATTTGACTATACCACTTACCCCTTTAAAAGGCTGCAAGAAATACAAACTCAAGTTGACTACTTTTGGAGGTCCTGGAGTCAACTTGCAGGTCCCAACTCGTTTGTCCGTGGTAGGTGGCATACTGCTGAAAGAAATGTTGCTATTGGCGATGTGGTCTGGCTCTGCGACCAAAATGCTCTAAGGGAGCAATTCAAGATGGGTAGAGTTGTTGCTGGGAATCCTGATTGCAAAGGGATAGTCCGGGATGTTTATGTGAAGGTTTCTCCAAGTGGGTATAGTTTGGGACCTAATCCTCCTGTGAAATGTTCTGGATTGGTGAAGGAGGTTCAGGGCACCATTCTCCATCGGGACGTCCGGCGCCTTGTAGTGCTCATCCCAGCAGAAGACCAAGCAGAGGGAACCAGCTCACTTAAAAAATGCGATCTTCCCTCCCACTTGCAAGATCGAGTGGGAGGTGTTGTGCAGATCTGCTCATTAGTTCAGATGTGGTTGCATGAATAGATATTTATGTGTGCGCGGGCACACGCACACGTACACACACACACACATTAGTGTGCCAGTCTGCCAGTCTGCAGCACTTTTCAGCAGGTGAAAGAAATCTGGTCCAATCAGCACACCGAGTAAACGGTGTGACCTTATCCTGTTGAAGACAATGCAACACAAATGTGCTGAAAAGATTGGGGTTATGAGGTAAAATTTATTTTAAAGCATACATTGACTTGCTAAAATATTTATACCTCAATGTTTTGTTTTGTTTTTTTGCATTTTTGCAAAAAAAAAAAAGCAAACATTACCTCAACTCAGGTAATATAAGGAATCTACCAACCACTTTGCTGGTTTTGCAACAGAGCTGAGGAAGGCAAACACAGCCTCCAAAGCAGCATTTCATGGGAAAGGACTTAGATTAAACAAGGACTACCGGTAAGCCATTAACTGGGCTCAGTTGAATGTAATTTGACTGTAGTTTCACATTTGAGAAAAGAAATGCAGAATTTATTGAAGGAACAGTTTGCACTGCTAGTTTTTACAGTTTGGTTCCATTAAATGTATGTTAAGATATTTAATGTAAAAACTTATGTCCTAAGAAAAAGAAAAAAATAATAATTCTAAAATGTTTGGATTTATTTGATTCAACCAAACATGGAATTTAATAATTTAATACTTGAATTTATGGTTAAAATTGTGAAAGAAATGTATGTCTAAGGTTAAAAATGGAATTAGTCATTAAGATAAATTATTAACTTTGAACCAAATGTCTAAAATGTATGTTAAAATATTTTGTATGCATTTTGTAGGTTTTTCACCTGTTCATTGATTCTCACTCATTGGTGAAAATAAAAAAGATTGAGTGAAATCCTGAAGTCTCTTCAAGTCCTCCTTTTCAAGTGTGGGAAGCCATGAAATTATAGAACACTTAACAAAACCTTTGGCTTAATTTTTTTATTTGTCATTTTATAGTATTTTAGGGTAAAGGTACAATCTTTAGCACAGCCCAAAAAATAACCGGTAGATGTTTACTCAGATACTTCTATCCAAGGTGGTTGTTGATGTTACAAAAAAAATCACAGAGCAACACATCGGAAAAAATTAAGAGTTTATCAATAATGTTCTCATGACCAATTATCTTAATGTTTTTCCCTCCTAAATTCTAAATGTAGTATAATTAATACCCCACTGTCTCATATTGCATTGTTGTTATTCTAGATCTTCCTGTATTTTTTCTTTTATGTATTGAATCTGTTTTTTGTAGTGTATACACCTCTTAATTCATTTTGCTGCTCCCATCCATCCATGGAGATTAAATCATTTCTCAAACATGCATGAAAGAATCAAAACAAAACTATAAATGTTTTTGATGAGGGAATAATATTACAACATGGTGAAAAGCTCAAGAGTCAATTTTACATAAAACTGCCTCTTTAAATATTCTCCACATAAAATGACAAAAAGAAAGCATGCTTTTAGTCATTTTTGCAATACAGATATGAAATTATATGTATTTAAATATAACGGGTACATATTCAAATTCAAAAATGGTTTATTTATTCCAAAAGGAAATTAAATGTTGCTGTGGTTCATACTAATTCAAGGTTCTTCAAAGAGTTATTGCTGATGTTGACGGCAGGCAAGACAGATCTCCTGTAGCTGTCTGTATAACGGCTAACTTGAAAAAGCCTCTGACTGAAGACACTGTTTTTCTGTCAGTCTCGTGAAGAGGATGCTCAGGCTTGTTCATAATTTTCTTGATTTGTATGTACAGCTTTGGTTTTGATACTCAAACTTGAGCTCAAGTGTGTCTGATTTTCACTGATTATTCTTCAGATATTACTACAACTTGACTGGAGTTCACCTGTGAATGCAGCTGAGCTTGTAGTGTGCATAAGATCAGAAACATTGCAATGAAGACATCCATGAAACATAAACATCCCAGAATGCACTGGGGTCTCTATGACCCAGAAACGGGTATGTTTGGCTCCCTATATCTGGCCTGGGGTAATCGGAGAAGTAAAAAAGGTAACCGGTAACTCAACGTTTATTAAAGCGGTGCTGTATGTAGTGTTGTATTTTGGAGAAAGGAAAGCAATGCAAAACGTAATTACAGGCAACAACCGTTAGGGGGCATTAAACCACACACCGGATCCTTCTTCCCGTTAGACCCGTCAAAGCTGCAATATCCGAGCCCTGACATTGCGAAGATGGAGGCTGTTATGGTTTAGAGCAGGGCGCTACACGGAAAGTACAGACAGCGAGTTTCTGAGGCCTGTTATGACAACGTTCCCAGCTGGTCCAGGTAGAACAGACAACAATTACTCAGCTAATGAACAAACATTAAAACCATTGCAAAATTAGCTTGCAGAAACGACAGCAAGCTAATGTCAACGAAGAGGCTAACGCAGCGAACGTTATCAAGGCTAGCTTCGGACAGCTACAACGTAGTTTCAATTTCGTGGTATGTTTGTAACGAGAACTGCTGGACTATGATGTTGATACCGTTTTAATACATTCAAGAAAACGGTCTTACAACATTTAAGCAAAGCACATCCATGCTAATTTCAGCTAAAGCCATTTGTAAGATGAGGAAGATTTTTTGATGCTAGCTAAAGCTAACAAGCTGCTCGGTGGAAGATCCGTTTCCTGGTTGTGATTCCTGTGCTTGGTAACTATCCTGCATTTTTGATGGTGATCATTTGGCCACTGTTCTTTCTAAAGTAAACAGACACGTTGTTTTTTATAGGTGCTAAACTGTTTTTAGTAGGAAGGTAGAAGCAAAGTAACGGCATTAAACATCCGGGCTGACTTACAGGGAAGGGAGACATGAATGAGTGATTTTAGACTTTTACACACACCCGTGGTGCTTTGCATTTGGTTAGGGCGTGCCAAAGACTTTGGATTTTAGGAAGCCGCTTTTCTTCATATCTTATGCCATAAGTTTTGTTTGCATCCAGTTTTGCTCAATCGTAAAACTTCAAATTTAAGACTATCAACTCAGAGAAAAGCATTATTTAAACCACTGTGGTGGATCAGCAACTAAATAATAAGCCTGGTTGTGTGTCTGCTACAGCTGGCTGATCTGTGTGTCTGCAGGCGGGAGGCAGGAGGTGTGAGCCAAGAGGACCAGACGCCAGCAGCATGTACTCCGAGTGGCGCTCGCTGCAGCTGGTGGTGCAGAGCGACCAGGGTCACCTCAGCGTCCTGCACACCTACCCTCCCAGTGTGGGCACAGAGGTGGCAAATGCAGTGGTCAAGCCTCTAGGCACAGCAGTGAGCCCTTTGGCCACAGAAAACATCCTCAAATCAGACAAAGAGGTGAGAAAGCTGGCAGCTCTGGGAAACACCTATGGCCTTTTATTTCAAAAAGTCTGCTCACCTTTTAAACTCTCTCTGTCTCTCTCTCTCGCTCTCATAAACGTATGTTTTGTGGTTCAGTAGAAAAATCTAATTTAATAAGGAGATCCAACTAATTTCTACTGATCCTGATGTTTGTTCAACTTTGGTCTAACAGTTTCCTTTACATTGGTTCCTTTCGTTTAGAGAGAGTAAAACTAACTTCTGGGACAATCAGCTGTAATTTATTAGGTTTTTTATTTTTATTTTTCATAATGTCATTGATGAGATAATAGTGTGTGCATAAAAACTGAGGTGATATTGTTTCCCTGCTGCTCTTACAGACCATTTAAACTCCATTAGCTTAAATCATCTCAGACTCTCATGCCTTTAATTTAGAGATATTTTCTTAGTAGTTATTCATATGAGTGATGCAGTGTGCAGCACATGTCTCTTCTGTATCACCAGAAGGGAACTGTTTGTGAGTCTGTGTTTGTTTAAATAAAATGCCTCTCAAACTGCTTGCATTATTGTTGTTTTTGTGAAGGATATCTTTGACTTGAGCCAATCTTGGGAATCTTTAAACTGGTTCTCAAATATGCAAAGAGAACTTTTTCAAGATTCTTTTTTCCTTGATAGTACCAGCTGTCAGTTCCTTTCATTATCAGAAAAGGCAGCTATGAATCAAGTAAAATATGCAATGTAGGAAATGACAAAAAGAGCAAAAATAATCAATAGCTCTGAACCCAGGTCTCTTTTGTAGCAGGTTTAATAAACGGTTGGTATTGCCTTGTGGAAAATAGTTTCTCTTTAAATAGTTTCTTCCTCTTACTTCTCATATCGGTTTTTATTATGTCAGAAGCATTAATCAGAGAAATGAACAGATTTTGTTTTGTCTTCTAATGATAGAACAAAATCTGGAGTCAAGTTGATTTGTGAAGAACATTTGAGCAACAAACCAGTTCAAAGTGCTTTAAACCATAAAAACAAACGGTAACTAATTATGAAACAAATGGATTTAGTCAAATGCCACCATCAAAATCATTGAGCAAATATACATCAAATATATTGATCAATGTTCCAATTATTATAAACCAAAGGCGACGAAGTAGCTGGGTTTTGATTTAAAGGCACTCAGTGCTTCAGCTGTTTTTCAGTTTTCTGGAAGTTTGTTCCAGATCTGTGGTGCATAGAAGCTGAATGCTGCTTCTCTATTTTTGGTTCTGGTTCTGATGCAGAGCAGAACCAGAACTAGAAGACCTGATTGGTCTGGATGGTGATATGACTAAACCTGTTTAATGTATTGTGATGCGAAGCTGTGTAGTGATTTATAAACTAACAGAGTATTTTAAAGACTAGTAGGAAAAACCCCATGTGACTGATATCTGGAAACGCTCTGCTTCCCAGGTGAAGTGGACCATGGAGGTGCTGTGTTATGGCCTGACCCTGCCCTTAGAGGGCGACACTGTCAAGCTGTGTGTGGACGTGTACACAGACTGGATGATGGCGCTGGTGTCACCCAAGGACTCCATGCCCCAGCCTGTGGTGAAGGAACCCAATATGTACGTCCAGACCATCCTGCGTCATCTCTACAACGTATTTGTGCCAAGGTATGCACCCGCCTCAGTTTCCCTCATTTAATGTAATTATTTAATCTTCGCTCAGTAACAATTATCTTTACCTAGATTATTGGGCTTTATTAATTAGTCACTCATAGATGAGCTAATATTTAGATTCGCACCAATCTGATATCTATATCTATACTGGTGCCGATATTGAAAACAATTCTAGATGGGATATCAGTGACGGTGTACCTGATCCATAAGGCTGATCTAATCAGTCTAGTTCCATGCTTTGTGCTCTGTGTCATGTCATGCTTTATTATTTTTTTATATTTAGCATTCCTAATTGCTCTTCCTGAGCCATTTGAAAGATTTGTTGCAGTTTATTTTTACATGTTCGACCAAGATAGTAAATCTATTGTTTGTCAGTTTAATTTTCTTTCATTTATTTTCCATTGACTGTTTTACTCCTAATTGGAGCTACTGAACTGTTGTTGTTTTTCCATGTTAGCTTGTCAAGCTGTTGGTGTGTTTCAATGTGCTGTATTGGTGCAGAGTTATTAAATTAATTAGTAATTCAGTACATTCATTCATTTCAGTCACTTCACTTGTTTCTCTGTATTGGATCTGTATCGGCCGATACTAAACCTCAGGTATTGGTATGGGAAGTGAAAAAAGTGGATCGGTGCTTCCTTGCTACTAATTTGATTTGTATCTTTCTGTCCGCAGGCCTGAGCAGCACAGTCTGAACCACATCAGGCTCTGCCAGCAGGTTCTGACGGCGGTTCAGAAGCTGGCACGAGAGTCTGTCTCCATGGTGAGGGAAACCTGGGAGGTGCTGCTGCTCTTCCTGCTACGCATCAACGACACTTTGCTTGCTCCTCCATCGGTTGGCGGTAAGCCACGCTCCAGCGTCTTCATTCATTCGCTCCTTGTGAGCACACATAGTAACCTAGCTTTGCTTCTTCTTTTAGTGGGCGTAGCAGAGAAACTGGCAGAGAAGCTGATGGCAGTTCTGTTTGAGGTGTGGCTTCTCGCATGCGCCCGCTGCTTTCCCACGCCGCCATATTGGAAGACCGCAAGGGAAATGCTGTCCAACTGGAGACATCATCCTCCTGTTGTAGAGCAGTGGAGCAGAGTAGCTTGTGCTCTGACTTCAAGGTAGGACTAAGAGGCAAGCAATAGAATGAGTTTGTGTAGTTTATTATTATTTATCTACTGTTAAAAAAATGCATATTTTCATTTCATAATCCAGGCTGCTGCGCTTTACTCACGGACCGTCCTTCCCACCTTTTAAAGTTCCAGATGAAGATGCCAACTTGATTCCCGTAGAGATGGACAACGACTGTGTGGCACAGACGTGGTATCGCTTTCTCCACATGATCGGGTGCATTTTACCTCCTCTGTGTATTTTCATTCATCTAGAAAAATGACAGCTCTACCTGAGCTAGATGTTAGTCTGTTTTGAAGGGGAAGTGAAAGTTGGTTCCTCAAAAAATGTTTGAACTATAACTACAAGAATAGTTTAACCTTTTAACTCTGAGTGAATCCAACTGTCCTCCTGCCTTTTGTTTCATTCCTCCTCATACAGTCATTGTCTCTCTCACATGTTCAGTAATTTTTTTTTTTATTGGGATCTGTAAACTACCTAATCTTGAGTATGCCTCACATCTCGTTTGTTTCCAGCAACCCGGTGGATTTGAGCAACCCAGCCATAGTGAGCACCACTCCAAAGTTTCAAGAGCAGTTTTTGATCTCCAGTGGGATTCCTCATGAAGTAGTTCTGCACCCGTGTTTGAAACAGCTACCCCAGATCTTCTTCAGGGCCATGAGAGGCATCAGCTGTCTTGTGGATGCATTCCTAGGTAAGAGGATGCACAGACAAATGCCTCACATTGAACCAGATCTGATATCAACAAAGGCCAAAAAAATGTCAGCTATACGCTATAAAGGAACACAATTCTTAACAGTGGAAGTGTGTGCATCATTCTTTATTAGTGTAAGATGTTGCTGTCATTACACACAGATTCTCACATATCATATTGCAGTAGAAACTTACATTAGTATTTTTAGTAAACCCTCATTATGTTGACACTAGTAGTAGTGGATAAGGGACAGCATTATTAAAAAACAAGAAGGAAAATTGGTGAGGTGTTACCATAGTAACTTGCAGTGGTTTGCAGCGTTAACTGAAGAGTCCGTCGTTCCAACCCTAAAGCACTAACCATAAACATACGTTCTGCTAACGCTGAAGCAATACACCAACACAGTATTTAGCAGAAGCAAATGCTAAATGCTAACTTCAATTCAAATGATATCTGCCCTTGAAAGACTAACCCCTCAAGCACCAACTTAATTTGACATGAAAATTGACATGTTCTATAGTAACCTTAGGCATGATGTTTATGACATTCAGTTCTTCATTGTCTGTGTTTTATTTTGTTTCTTGTTGAAATAAAGTTATTGGGGAAAAAGAGGGAATGTGAGGAGGGGAAGCAGGTCTGTAGCTGAGCAGCAGAAGTTTGCCCAGCATTGGTAACTTGCCGTTTTTTCCCCCCAAACCATAATTGTATTTAAACCACTTTGAAAAATTGGTTGAATTTCTTTCATACCAACATGTTTTAAAATTCAAAGTTATATTGAACAGAACAGCAAACACCAGTGTTGTAGTACTCAAGACCAGTCTTGGTCTCGAGACCAGTTTTTGATGATCTCGGTCTCAGGCGCTGAGGACTCTGGATTTTATTTCAAGACCAGTCAAGATTGCAACTGTGGAAATATCACTAAGCTTACAGCATACTGTCCAGTTTATTTGTTAACGTGTTTGTTTTAACTGGATGGATACTGATTAAAATCCAAGCAATAACGTGACTTACGAATTATGTGTTTTCTGTTACTCCCCCCACCCCTCCACATCTTTCACTCACACGCGGCGCTCTGAGATATGCGCAGTGGTTTCCTCTGATCGGCAGAAGATGTCTGACTAATCGTCAATAGTAGAATAGCGCTGCATAAATCATAAGAAATCCGATGGCGACTGCTAACTAAGCATCACTTCGCTTTCACAGATGGTAGGGACTATGTCTAACTTTTTTCGTCACTTAGAAAAGTAGCTCAAAGAAGGTAAGCTCCGTTGACGTGATGTTAGCAACGCTAGCTGTACAGAGACACATAAGCATTCGTGATGAAAAAAAGTTGTCACTCAATGTGCTGGATTATTGTACGGAGGTGTTGACTAACATGTCGTATATTTGGGATAACGCTGTGTCCAAAAGTCTGCAGTATAGTGATGTGACATTCACGAGCGATCCGATTCTTCTGAACGGCTCTTTACTAAGTAGATCGGACTGGAGCCTCACTGAGAGTCGTTCTTTGTTTTTGTAATGCTCTGCGTACACTGCAGTAGATATTATTATTTTATTTAATTATATACATTGGTATTTATTTAATTAGTAAATAATTAAAACACAAGAACAAAAAAGCATGCAGAGCATGTGCGTCGCGCTATGATTGTTTTCGTTCAGAGTGGCAGCTGTAATGTGTGCCATGGTGTCAGACTGCCTGGCTTCATGTAGCAGGAGAGAGAGAGAGAACAGTCACGGTGAGCGCCTTCTTGCTTGTTGCTCTTTCGTCAGTGTTCATAGTTGAGCGTTATTTACTGTCAGGGCATTGCCTCAATTGCTATGTTTAATGATGCAGACGGGTAGTTTCTGACATGAGCAATATGGGCAAACACCCATCGCTTTATCTTTTTAGGGATGGCAAAGCAGAACAAAGAATGTTTTTATGGGAATGTGGATCTTTCAGATCAATTTGAGAAGCATTTTTGATCATATTATCGTGTCATGTAGCGCGGGGCGCTGGTCTTGGTTTCAGGCCCTAAAAGTTTTGGTCTCATCTTGGTCTCAATACACTCTGGTCTTTGTCTTGTCTTGGTCTTGGGTTTGGTGGTCTTGACTACAACACTGGCAAACACTACATTACATTGAACAAAAGTGGTTTTATGGTAAGCTAAGCATGGAAACGACAAACGGACCAAAACATTGACTTTATTTTGATCATGAAAGTAAATCTGAGCATTAAATTTTTTTGTCCCTTCCTTTTGCTGATTTTGTCACAACCTCTCGGTGAGATGAAGATGGAGGGTTCTAAACAATGTCAGCCACATTTCAGGAGAAATATGTCAGCATGTACTTTTCTCTTCACACTGTAGGTATCTTTGTTGAAAAGAGAGACGTACGCGAGAGGGCGTTCTCTTTTTGTCCCCTGCCGCTGTCTCATGGTACACTCATCAGCTCATTTAATGAGACATGATGGACATGTGGTTTGTTTTTTGCGGTGATCGTGTTAAAGGTCCAGTGTGTAGGATGTAGCAATAAAAATAAATGAATAAAATGACCACCAAAATGGAATATTGTTGCTCTGGAGCTTAGAGCTTTCTGGGCTTCTCTAGTACAAAAGAGAGTGATTTGATTATTTTATTTTAAAGCAAAAATATTGACCTGCATGTTTGTTTATATAATATATATTGCATCTTTGCACCTAGATTGGCCTTAACGTTGCACACTGGAACTTTAAGAACTGTAGGTTTTGCTGCTAAGCAAACGGTATCTCACAGATAGACTAAACTACCACATCATCAACGGGGGACTACTCCGGTCTTAAAGTGTCAATCATTATCAGTGCATTTCCAATCTTGGTGATTCACATCTAACCGTTCTAACGCATGTCTACCAATGAAGATGGGCTTTGATTAAGTCTCTTACCCCAAATCATTTTCTCTTTTCTCATCATTTGCCTGGAATGCTGATTAGCGAGTGAACAGGTTTTGCCTCCATGGTGACGCTGCTTTCTTATTCACAGGTATATCACGACCAAGGGCGGACAGTGCCCCGCCCACCCCAGTGAACAGATTGAGTATGTCTCCGCCCCCCTCCGTCGCCAACACTACACCACCACACAGCCGCAAACAGCGGCATGCGGTGGTCACGAAAACCACCAGCAAGAGCTCAACTGTAAGTCTGACTGTTACACACAGCCATAACGTACAGTTGGGTTATGCTAGGGGAGTCCAACCAATCCTAGATCTATGGGCTGAGCCCGACCGAGAATGTGGGCCGAATTGGGCGAGAATATTAGCTTGATTGTTGGGCTCGGGCTTCTGAGGAGCGTTTAATAAACGTGCAATACATTCAAGAAAAAAACAAACCAGAACTCACAAGATAAAGTCATGTTAACCTGCTGATTATAGTGTAAATAGAGGAGTAGCTAGCTTAACCTGTTGAAGAAATGAAGAAAGTAAGCAGGGTGCAGGAAGTTAATCATTCTGTAACAAGCACAGTGCACTGCATGCACACCCTGCTCCGCTCCTATCAATCACACATCCCAGATGATTTGACCTTTTCTCACTCTGCCATTACAACAGGAGACTAGATGGAGCTGGAAGATGCTAAACAAAAGCTAGAAACAGGAGAAGATGCACTGCTTACTCAAATAGTCTAAAAATGAAAGCAGTATAATCACAGGTAAAATATGTTGGATTACTTTAGGCTATGAATGAAATTCATTAGTCTGATCGGGATCGGGCCGGGTCAGTTTTTTAGACCCAATCTAAACTCTAACTAGAGGAGGCCTCATGACGAGCTGATCGTTTGGTTCAGGTCTGTTGGAGAAGCTGCAGCACTCTTTGGTTACAGTTTAGAAATGAAGGTTTGGAGTTTCATATGAGAGCACGTCTTGCATGTCTTAATTGGCATGTGGCTGTTGGTGTCTTACAAATGTTTTAGTTCAAGTACCACAAAGTTATTTTTATCATTTATCCATATACAAGTTTGTATTTTACAGGACAAACTTGATAGGACGATGTATAGAGCTTCTGTTAAGCCCCAAATTATTCATACCCTTTGCAGAGTTGGTTGTGAATATTTTAATTTTGTTTTTCCAACATGTTTCCTCTGACTTGAAGTAGTATTAATGTTTTTGAGTTCCCAGCTAGAGTTTCCACTTGAATCTGAAGGAGAATCTGTGAAGGGAACTAAATATTAGAAAGAAGCGCATCACCTAACACACTTCATCAAAAACCTGTTCAGCAATATAAATCATTTATAGCAAACTAACTTGGTTAAAATATGAATAAGCAAAAATTATTCAAAATGTCTTTGTTATGACAACTTGACATTAACTAA